AGAACATTTAACTACAGGGCTGCTTAGAGTTCGTATTTGCAGACACATGAGCAGCTCACGTACACGCCAGAAACACCCCTGCATCTAACTATAAGCTAACTTTAAGTTGATTAGGAAGGAGCTATAAGTCACTTATTATATGCATATTTCCTTTGACGAAAGCTAACTATAATTCTATGGCGATGGCAGCGAAATAGTCAAGGGTGGTTACCCCTGCATTAGATGTAGTCAAGGGTGGTTACCTCTGCATTTGATGTAACTAACTTGTAACTAACTACTTTTGGGCATAATATGAATACGAAAAACAAAATATTATTTTTTATTTTTCTTTGTTTTTTTTATTTATTTTTGTTTTTTTTATTTATTTTTTATTTTTTTTATTTTATTTTTGTTTATTTTTTTCTGCAGGGACATACAACTTGCACTCATTGCTCATGCACACGTGTGTGCATTAGTGGAAAACAAACTCTGCTCACAGCAAAGTGTGTGCTGTTCAGCGTTGCCACTAATAATTATTTTTCTCTACCAATTTTCTTCCCAAATCCGACCAAAGTCGTTTCAACCTACAAAATAAATCCCAATTACAAAAAAGCATTCTGAGAGCATACAATTAATTTATTTAAGATTAAATGTTTCGAATACAAAACATTTACATACATACAAGCACTTTGTACATTTTAAAACAAACAAGAAATAAATAAATGCAGGTTCAATTTTAGACACAGAGATGAGATTATTTAGCATTTTTTGGTTGTGAGTGTAATTTCTTAAAAGTAAATTTAAATCAATTAATCACACATGCAAATCTTCAGCAGCTGACCACACATAGTGCGGGTAATTTTTGTTTACAAGGTCCTGCATAACATTATGCTATAGATACTGTCAATCTTAAGTTTGTTTCTTAGTTTAGTTTTTATCGAAGAAAGCGTTGAAAATTAGCGTTTTGCAGCCGCAGAGCTACATAAGTGGTAATGAAGTTATATTAAAAACAAAATTGGCGATATGCATGGAGCTATTTTGATGCATTCCATTTTTAATAGAATCAACTTTTTATCAAAGCATATCAATATCCAGATCGCCGGAAATATCAAGCACGCTTAGCCTCAGTAAATTCCACTGCGTGGTTATTATATCAGGATCGTAATTTATGAGATGGGGAAACTTTAACAAAAGAGGTAAAATTGGTAAATCTCCTTTAGAAACTACCTTAGCTGCGTGGGCGTATGCAGAGCATAATTTAAAGGGGCGGGCTGAGATTTTTTTATGAAAATTTTATTAGAAATGTTAAAATATAGCTATTTAAAATTTACAATAATTTACTTCATTAATTTTTCTCTTTTTAACCGACCTCAAAAAAGGAGGAGGTTACCAATTCATCGGAACTTTTTTTTCTATGTATGTTACTGCATAACTTTGAACCACATTAACCGATTTCGATAATTCTTTTTCTGGTGCCTCAGGAGAGGTCCCATACTAATTTAGTTTAGATCCGATCATTGGATCATGGAGAAATTAATGGTACTTCTAAATTTTTATATGAGAATTGAAGTCGGTTGTGTTTTTTGCTTACAAAAAGTATTAACAAGTATTATTGTAACAATTGAGTTGTACCGAGGCCTATAAAGGCTTTGCAGATTTTTCATAATCTATGCACACAGTTTGAAATCTGGATTTATATGGTGTTTGCCAGACTTTTATGGAAAAATAATAAACATTAAATAAACGAAACCAAAATAGCCAAAATTTATTAAAATGTTGCTGGCTCAATTAGCTGATCACAAGTGTATATGTTTATAATTAAGAATTTAAAAACTTAATTCAACTATCCGACCAAAATATTACTTTGCCTACCAACCTACCAAATGAAAAAGAAGCGACCAAATTTCGTCGGAAAAGACCAATAGTGGCAACACTGGTGCTGTTTGTTATTACCCAGCAAAAAATCGGTAATCGCTTTTAGTGGTAAAGTGTTCTANTAAAATGTTGCTGGCTCAATTAGCTGATCACAAGTGTATATGTTTATAATTAAGAATTTAAAAACTTAATTCAACTATCCGACCAAAATATTACTTTGCCTACCAACCTACCAAATGAAAAAGAAGCGACCAAATTTCGTCGGAAAAGACCAATAGTGGCAACACTGGTGCTGTTTGTTATTACCCAGCAAAAAATCGGTAATCGCTTTTAGTGGTAAAGTGTTCTAGAAGGCATAGCGTTATAATGCCTTCGAATTTTTTCGCTTCTTTAGGCATTGCCGGTAATGCAAAGTATAATGTCCTACAATATTTTTTTACTTCGCTTCTTTGTTTCATTTCGGGGAATGGAAAGTAGAATGCTGCATCGTAGTCAGCTGAAAAATAGAATGAATATCCAAAAATACTTTTTCTACCGTTACATTCTGTGGAAATTTGTCTCGCATAAAAATCATTTTTTTGCTTTGTTCAATTTGCAGCGAAGTTGAAGACAGTCAATGAAGTGAAGTACAAGAGTGAGGAAGTACAATTTTAAGCTTAGTTAAATATGCATGTATGTACATACCGATTTTTAGTAGAATACTTTGCATTCCCCAAAATGAAACAAAGAAGCGAACAAAATAAAATATTGTAGGATATTCTACTTTGCATTACCGGCAATGCCTAAAAGAAGCGAAAAAATCCGAAGGCATTATAACGCTATGCCTTCTAGAATACGTTACCACTAAAAGCGGTTACCCATTTTTTGCTGGGTAATAACAAACAGCACCAGTGTTGCCACTATTGGTCTTTTCCGACCAAATTTGGTCGCTTCTTTTACATTTGGTAGGTTTGTAGGCAAAGAAAGATTTTGGTCGGATAGTTGAATTAAGTTTTTAAATTCTTAATTATAAACATATATATTTCAAACATCATTTTGCATATACATATTTTCCAATTGTACCTTTTAAACATTTGCCAATCCTGCCTTTAAAAATAAAAAACCTAATTGGGTTGGCCACTGATTGAGCCATTGTTATGGCTGGAGACTTGAGCGGGCTGAAAACATTATTGAGTACAGAAACCGATTTATTTTATATAAAGTGCACATGGCACTCACTTCACCTTTGCTCAAGCTACGCTTGTAAAAAATTCCGAAAAGCATTGAGACACTCACCCCTATTCTGCAACTCTTTCGTATTCGGATTTTGCTACGAATCGCAGAAATAGTATGCTGCAATCCGAATCGTATTTTCGAACATTCGAAATTCGTAACAATGGCATGCCTAAAAACGAACGAGTAAGCTTTTTTGCGTAATTTTGTACGAAAACAATTTTGTGTCGGAGGGGAGATAAAAGACGTAAATCAATGTGTGTTTGCAGGAAATATTAGTGGTGTTCATTTAAACAGGTAAATATGCCCTTCGCATATAAGTATATTTTTATCCACTGCTTTATATAAACGAGTAAAACAGAATCTTTGTTGCCACTTATCGAGAAACTTGGGTCCGGTTTAGATATTTGTACAATGATTTTCGGTTGTGTCCAAACGCATAATCCGAATCCAAAAACTTTAAAATCACGTGTAATTAACGGCTTAAAATTTTATTTAAAATAAATTCCGAGCACTATCTTATTAATAAATTCGGTTAGCACTATGCACTTTTTTGCAAATTTCGACGTGGGTTCTGCGCAAAAATACTGTGGATGGCGTAGCCGGAGCGATGTGCACAAGAAGTGCTGTATACCTTTGACATGCGGAAGCCCCTCTTCTCCGGCAACACAGAAAGGAGAATTTTACTTAGTAAGGGTTATAATCCCTAAGCGCGGCCGAAGGCAGAAGCAAGTGCAACAGGTGGTGGACCTAACAAAGTGCATGTTTTCAATGGCTTGGAAGAAGCTGTTATTGCATTAGCTGGATTGAGAACCAGTTCTTCAGGCATAGGAGTAGTTCTGGCTTGTGGTTCAACAATTTAACCAGAAACTGACATAGACGCGCCCATGGTTACTATGCCCGACAGCTCCGCATATCTTTGTGAAATCATTCCCATAGCGCGTTCTTACTCCGCTGCTATAATTGCAAATGCAATAGAATCCACCATTTCCTCCAAAATATGAAAAATCAAACAATTTTACTATAAATAAGCACATCATGAGTGTTTTTCTAATTCCTTTCCACTTTGTTTTCCTTCATTCAGCTATCTTCTAAAAACAACTGATAGCTGGCAATGCTGCACATGTTTCCGCAAGGGTTGCAGCATGTTGATTTTTCGTTTTTCGTAGCGTAGCTACGAATTACGAATTACGAAAATTCGGGTTCTAGAATAAGGGGGTCAGTGTTTTTGAACTGGTGGCGATCTAGTTACTATCGGACTGGTTCGTTTTTGGTGAAAGAGATCTAGTGCGGAACTACAAATTTGGTTCACCAGTTCGGGGTTTCCCGACAGGTTAAATACCTAAATACATACATATGTATGTATAAAAACTGATTTATAAAAATTTTAATCTTTTAAGACATTTTCTGATTTCAATTTAAGTATGTACTTATCTAGGTATTCTACATTAGTTTCTCTGTAAGGCATTTTTTGCTCGCTTCTCTGGATTCTGTTTATCCATGCGTTCTCCTTTCGTTCCAAGGTAATTCTGCGGGTAAGGGCTTACGACCAATGACATGCCTATGTTAAAATAATGCCTTCTTGAAGCGAAAGGGTAAGCGATTCCCATCGCTTAGCTCGTTTCCACTTTCGTTTCTGTGGTAATCGTGTTTTTTGTTGGGTAAGCGCATGCGCATGTGTGTGAGCCCATTTTAGTACAAATTTCTGCACATGCACATACTATATTTTTAAAGCAAATTTTTTGTAAAACGTTATTTTTTATAACACATTTCGATAAAAATTTATATGTTGTTTGTTTTTTATATGACAGAAAACATACTAAAAAACTATTTTAAGATTTGAGTTTAATTTTAAGTGCATAAGTTTCTCTGCGCAAAGCACACACATGTGCGTGTGCTTTATATAAATAAATATAAAGTACACACAATCATACGTATGCCTGTGCTTTTTACTAAACAGCACACACATGTGATAGAGCTGGAAAACTATCGATGGCTCTATCGATAGTATCGATGGTTTTTGACTATCGAAAACATAGATGGTTTTGAAATCACTATTGATAGCTTCCACTAATACATACATTATTCAGTAAGAGTAAATGCCGCGGGTACCTACATACTTTATCTTTTGATGTCGGAAAGGACATTTAGCAAAGCAGGGCAAATAATTTCAGAGCGCAGATGCTGCTTGAAGCTAAAAAGCGTTGATAAACTTTTGTTCCTTAACAGAAATATAGACATACTAGCGTACCCGGCGAACTTCGTTTCGCCCAAATATTTTTGTTTTATTGGGACATTTGGGTACAATACTTTCACCAACTTCCAGTTGCATATTTATATGCTTTGATTATGGTTTTTTGGTCGTCAGAAGGCATATCTTCATTGCCATTTTCGATATACTCAACACTCTAAAAAAAAATTGTGTAAATTTCCTAGCTAAAAGGTATTTTATTGATTTCCTACCTTATTATTCGCGACATGACATGCTCGATTATTGAGCGAATAGTTTGTTTAAGTTTCGGACTTTTTAGAGCGTAATATAGCTGCTGTGGTGTGCGTAAATTTACTACGAAAGCTACAAAATACACGTCTGCTGTTTGATTTCATCCGTAGAATTGTGTAAAGCCGCTAATAAAAAGGATTTTTACACACGAAAATGTGAAATGGGAAAAATACATATTCATCGTGCAAATTTACCAAAAAATTTTAAAAATAAACAAAAAAATATACTCGATTTATAGTCGCATTTTTAAACAGATTTTTTACAGTGAATGGTGCGGCATGTCGAAGTGATGGGACAGTCACGGTTTTCAATGCAGATCTGGATTCCGCTTTTATTTAAGTTATGAAGGAGCTGGTTCCTCTGAGGGATGATTTCGCGACGCAAGCAATCACAGCTGTTCATTAACTTGGGCGCGTTGCTGAGGATTTTGATTAAACCCATCATAAGTCTGATTTATGGTATTAACCAGAATTTCATCATACAATTTTCCAATCCGGCAACTGTAAATGGAACGGGTAATAATTTACAACGCACTCTAACCTAACCTACATAATAGTTTAGTTTTGATAAAATTTTGAACCGGGGAAACCATTTCAATTGTCATATTTCGATCAAAATTAAAGAAAAACAAGTAAGAAAGTCTAAGTTCGAGCGGAGCCGAACATTAAATACCCGGCGCAGGTACCGCTACATGGTAAGTCGGTGTGTATCAATTTTGAGTAAATTAGCGTCCTTAAATTTCGAAATATTGAAGTTTCAAGCATTTCTGAAATTTGCCGTTATATGGAAAGTGGTCGTAATTTTAATCTGATTCCAATAATTTTCAACGTTTTGCTTCTATGTGGCAAGCACAATAATAATACCGAGTTTGGTACAAATTGGTAGAACGGTTACCGAGATACATATATGTGATCATAAGTGGGCGGTGCCACGCCCATTTTCCAAAATTTTAAAGAATTGTTGCAAGCATCAATTTTGAGTAAATTAGCGTTAATATTTTCCGATTTATCGAAGGTTTCGTATTTCTCCAAATTACCGTTATATGGGAGGTAGGCGTGGTTATTGTCCGATTTTAAAAATGTTCGGCCATTTGGTATGCCGTAGCAAGACTAACAACTGCGGCAAGTTTGGAAGAAATTGGTGCAGCGGTTACCAAGATATACACATATAACCATAAATAGGAGTAGCTACGCCCATTTTCCAAAAATTTATAATATTCTTTTTTTCGTCTAAAAGTTGTTGTAAATATCAATTTTGAGTGAATAATTTTCAGTAGTTACTAAAATATCGCAGTTTTCTTATTTCCGAAAATGACCGTTATATGGGATGTGAGCGTGGTTATTGTCCGATTTTTAAAATTTTCAGGCATTTAGTATGCTGTATCAAGGCCAACAGCTGTGCCAAGTTTGGAAGAAATTGGTTTAGCGGTTACCAAGATATACACATATAACCATAAGTGGGCGTAGCTACGCCTATTTTGCAAAAATTTATAATATTCTTATTTTTCGTCTGAAAGTTATTGTAAATATCAATTTTGAGTGAATTATCTTCAGTAGTTACTAAATATCGCAGTTTTCGTATTTCGGAAAATTACCGTTATATGGGAGGTAGGCGAGGTTATTGTCCGATTTTGCCTATTTTCAATACCATCCGTCCTACGCCCGAAAGAAGTGCACATACAAAGTTTCGTTAAGATATCTCAATTTTTACTCGAGTTATCGTGTGCACAGACGGACGGACGGACGNAAGTTATAATACCCTTGTGCACAAGTGCACTCGGGTATAAAAAATTGTGTCCATGGAAAATCAGTTTTTCGGAATTTTCTGTTCATTACGTTTTTTCAGTTTTCCTTGGAAAGAGACAAACACAACAAAAAATACAGCTCATATAGGAAAATTCATTGTAGAGCTATGCTCGGTATTACGTTAGCGGCTTTGATTTCTACATATGAACATATATATAAAGATTTAAATTGTTAAATTGTAGGCAGCCCTCTTCAAATTTATTACTTCTGGTTAAGAGTGCATTTAAATGCCTTTCATTCTCTGTATTCGTTGCATTATTTTATTCGATATTTATTTAAATCACTAAAATTTTAAGCGACTGGCAACCCTATTAAAATTTTTTTCTTTTTACCTCAACCGGTGAAGCTTTCCTTCAAAATGGTGTTTGAATCATTCAATTTGATGGAGTATTATGGAAGATATGCCACTTTATTGGTCGGATACACTGTTTTCAGCTTTTTAAACCCCCTTTTTTAAGAAATAACTAATTTTGAACAACTTGATTATTCTTCGCATGCACGTAAGTTTCTCCCCTTCAAATTAAGATATCATTCAATAAATTTGATTAAATATTAAATGAGATATCGTTTGGTAACAGAATAATACCTTTTAAAAATAAGTATATAGATTTTAGCAATTCTGATATCGATTTCAATAAAAGTTGTTATTTTATGTTTGTAGGCTAGTCTGATCTTTTGAGTTTTGGTGCGAACAAAACTACTTTATTGCACTTTTTGCACGACGTTTCGCTGAAACCTTTTTACCATCCTCAGGCGTCGTGTTTATTTTATTTGTTACAACAAATATACAAAAATACAAAAACATACATTAAGTATTAACCGAAAAACAAATATGTATTTATATATATAACAACAAATTGAATTAAATGACAAACCAACTCACATTGTTTATGTTTAATTTTTGGACCTTTTTAATCAAAACTATCGATTGTACTACCGATAGTGTCGACATTTTAGTATCATTACTATCGATGGTTGTGACTATCGACTATCGAAACTATCGATGGCTACGACTACGGATAGTTTTTCAGCTCTGCATGTGATGTGAGCAAGTTTTTAAATTATTATTTCCACAGCACACGTGTGTGAGTGTAAAATGTTAAGATGTGCTGTGCGTGTGTGCAAATACGAACCCTGCTTATGCTAAACATTTCACTTCACATTTGACATCAGTAATGAAAAAGGAATGTCAATCACCTGACACCAAAGTTTGACAACAGTCTTTGACATGCATTGCGATATCTACATTTGGTCTAGGGATGGGTAAATTCGATATTCGAAGCTTCGAATTTTAATTGAATTTTAGCTCCAAAATGGAATATTTTTGAAATCGAACTTTGTGGTGCTAAAATTCGGATAAAATCGAATATTTCTAGAACAAATCGAATTTCGTCTTAAAGCAACTCTGCAACTTTTTCTTTCTGACTAAATTTGGCATCACTGTGTGTGGCACCATATTTGCATTAGCAAAGCAAGTCAATAAAATACATGGACGTTTTTTCGATATGGTGCAACGAAATATTGCATCGATGTATCGTATATAAAAGTCGATATTTTGGATGCGGCGAATGAATTGAAATTATGGTTGCGTTCCCTAACTCGCAAAAAGTTACAAGAATTTACAGGAATTTACCAGAAAGCGTTCCCGTACGCGGTTCTCTGGCTTCTTTTGCCATTTGACAGTTTTACAGGTTTTAACCCAGAAAAGTTGGGGAACGCAACTTATTCAAGAAAATGGAACTATCGGAACTTCGATAAACGTGGTGACGTGCAGTAATGTCAATGATATTAATACATAGGCAAAAGTGAAATAATGTCAATTGTTAAAATTGAAATATTTCATATGTTATAAAAATAGATTTTGTTATTTTGTGTTATTAATTCACTTTTAAATTTTGTATTACTGTCATTAACATTATTCACAAAAAATAAATAAGATTTCAGATGCTTTATGATCTCAAAACTTTATCTAATACTTGGTTTTCATTATGTCAAAAGTACTGCCTTAACTAACAGCTGTTAACTTGGTGTCAAATACATCATAAAAACTGACGAAATGTAGATATACAGTACATGTCAAAGACTGTCATAAAAATTTTGGTGTCATGTGATTGGCACTCCGGTTTTCATCACTGATGTCAAATGTGTAGTTAAATTTTTGACGTATGTAAGTAAAGACTACCCGTCGTTTAGCTATAGACAATCAAAAATGCTTTTGGATTTTCCACCTAAAAGTGTCAAAGACATACTTCTGGAGTTTGGTATGTTCACGAAAGTCAAGGCCTGAGATGTTCTAAACAACTTTAGGCATGTTTTATTGAACCATCACAAGCTAATAGCTAAATCTTGGTCAAATAAAACGAAATTAGCTTATTTCCTATATTAGCCTAATTTTGACAGTTGTAGTGTCAAATGTAAGTTTTTGCCTCTTTCTGATTGGCTGAAGCATAACATTTCTTAGGCTGAATGGCAATGCCACTAGTTCAATATACAAGCCAAGGCAGCTTTTCATAAGCCAATATAATTATGTCGGGTAAGTCTTCCATACAAAATAAGCTAATAACTTAAATTTCTGGTCAAATAAAACACGCCTTTTGTCAAAGAAATTTTGCCGAAAAAGCCAACCATATGCTAGTTAGAATTGGCATGTCAGTGGCAAAAATACATCGATATTTGTCGATGCATCGGAGGGCGTACATCGATGCATCGATACGCATAGAGTTTTCCTCCACTATGGAAATAAAACATTAAGAACCTTTTTCGGTATGTACTAGTTTTATAGCTCATAAAATTTTAGTATAACAAAGCGCAAGTCAGCCAAAAAAAAAAATATTAAAAATTAAAGCAATTGAAACTTGCACTTTATTATACTAACATTTTATGAGCTATAAAACTGCATCTTCCTCTCTATGAACTTCAGACAAAGCGATGTTCGGCCATTCGATGTACTTGAGATGTCAGTTTACAGAAAACATCGATGCATCGACGCCTCGATGCATCGACTATTTATACATCGAGTGGAAAATTTTCGATGCATCGAAGTGAAACATCGATATTTTCGATGCATCGATGTTTTTTCGGCATCCCTAAGTTAGAAACCATAAAATAGCGTATAATACCTGAAAAATGTCCATAGGAGCAAATTTTTCAAAATAAAAAGTTGTATGAAGGCGTGCAGAAAACTTAAAAACTAATGATGCAGTTCGATTCCCCATACCCGAAATAGGGTGAAACCGTCTTCTTCGCCCATGCCTTTGAAAATGTTTGAAAAAAACTAGCACAATGTTATCTATTGTTCCTTGTTTACTTAAAGATCTCGTTGCCGTTAAATGTAAGACTTTTTTATTCGTTATAAACATACGTATGATTGCACAAGTATGTAACGTGAAGTATGTACAAATTTCTTTTGTTTTTGTAAAGCAAGAAAAATAATTAAAATCACTTTATACGTCCCAAAAAATTTGTTTCCATATGCAACATTTGCTAAATTTTTGGATTTTTTTCTGATATTTTTTTGAGATATTTATTTGAAAAAAAATAAGTTGTATTTATTTTTAGTTGTGAAGCTAAGAAGAGCGATATGGATAGTTAATCACATTAATATAAGTTCAACTGAATCTTTTTTTTCGATTTGAGTTATCATTCTTACAAACAAACTTTTAAATTTTTAGTAAACAAATTTCTTTGAAATTCGAAAAAAGTCGAATCTAATCGAATTTGCATCACCAAATTTCGAACCGAATTTGAATATTAATACTTAAACATTTATCGAAGTTCCGATTGTTCCATTTTCTGTTATATTTTTAATTCATTCGACGCCTAGAGAATATCGCTTTTTATATACGATACATCGATGCAATATTCGATTCATCAGATCGAAAAAACATCCGATGTATTTGTAGGACTTGGACCGCTAATGCAAATGTGGCACGACACACAATGGCAGAAAGAAGAAAGTTGCAGAGTTGGTTTTTTGCAAGTAAAGGAGAAATCCGATTTTTTTTTTCTAGAAAACTTCGATTTCATCCAAATTTTAGCACCACAAAGTTCGATTTCAAAAATTTAAAAAAAAAATTAGATTGAAATGATCAAAATTTTTATGAAAATTTGTTGAATTTTTCTAAATTCTGCATAGAGAAAAAAATTTTCACTTGAAAAACAGTGCAATTTTTAACAAAGCCAGTGTACGAAAATCAAGTTTTTGTTTACTTATGAAAATTTCTCCCCCAGAATCTCTCTCTGGATCCGCCAATGGTTTACATTATTTAGCATTACCAAAGAAATTCAAGAAGCATTTTAAGTCTCTATAAAACATATTTGATATGAACCTTAAATAAATTCCTTAAAGAAGTATGATTTTTATGAATTAATAGAACAACTTTAAAAGAACTTCTCCAAAAGGCCTTCTGAAGTACGTCCTCCTTCTGGAAGCTCTTCTTTGGGTAGTGAAAGCATAAACCTATCAATTTGTGCCACTCCATATAAAAAAGAAAGGACAAAAGCCTTTTGGAAGAAATTTTAGCTCATGAAACTACCTACTGGGTAGTATGAATGACAACTCAGCCGTGTACCTGTTCAGGAACTTGCACTTTTTCGGACACCAGGACAATTTGTCAAAACCAGGATAAATCTTGGAAAATTGGCGCGTCTGGCAGGCCTCTACTACATGCATTTCCACGCATTATGCTCAAGGTGCTCACATGCTAACGCGCGCTAAACGTTATCAGTAGGGCAACCCAAAATATGCTCCTAAAAAAAAATTTTTAGCGCCGAAAATATGCCAATAAATTCTAAATATATGCTCCAGAAAATGCTTTTAAAATCATTATAAGCCATAAGATATGCTTTTAAATTTCATTTATGTAGTGTGTGCATGCACAAAAATACCTTTAACATTATTTGCAGTACCTAAAATGTTCTAAATTTCATAGAAGTGTATATACATAAATATTTATGTTTAATAATTAATATTTATTCAATTTTTTTTAAACATACTATGTATGAAAGTACATGGAATCTATATCACAAATTGGGCCTGTTCGAGGCACGTAATAAAAGCGGCATTACTGCCGTACTGATGAAAAATGGCAACATTGTTGCAACTGCCCAACTAATAATACATTGCTAGAAATGCATACAGAACGTGATACTTTAATAATTCGCGCAACACTGCGGTTGTGATTGCAACTCGAACAAGCCCATAGTTTCACATAGGAATTCATACTGTGCATGTTTGTAGATACATATGTACCCTGCAGCGGAAAGTACTAGTCGGGAGTTTTGGAGTCGAATACCGGTACCTACCTCGCAAATCTATCACCAATGCTTCCTGCTGTCGCATTTAGCATGGAGTTGTCCTAGGAGGTGACAATTGCCTCCGTCTACGTAACATTGCCCTGGTACTTGTAATAGTAACACGTAGCCTGTAACCGAACCACGTTTTGTATCTCGCTGCGTAACCTGGTACTAGTAATAATAAAGGTTTCCATAACAAAACACAGTTACTTGCATTTGATGAAATCTTTGTTAACTGCTTGCCAATCGAAATTATAACGACGCGACATGGCGGGTCAGCGTCGGGACAACTCATCTGTCAAGAGCGAAACCCTGCAGTGAAAACCCAAACCAGTTAGAAAAAATACTAGTTTATAAACTAGTATGTGCCTACCAGTTCGACATTTTCGAAGAACTTAAGCGTTCAGCGACATCTGCCTTTGAATTGCCAAAGCCTAAAATAAAACGCAATTAATTGCTTTTCTTACACATGTCGGCTGTGGCGTCACGTGCAGACTACTGGTTCTGGTTCTGGGATCGCAGGTTCGAGGCCGCTTGGAGGTGGTTAAGATTTTTAAAGTTAGAGTAGAAATAATTATTTCAATTTAAATATAAATTACAAACTTAAAAATCTAGTTGCATTACAAAAAAATAGAAACAAATATAAAAAAAATATATATTTTTTTTAATTAAATTTAAGAATAAAAACAAAAAAATAAAATAAAAAAATTTTCCCTGCACCAGGGCTTGAACCTGGTGCCTCGGGCATACCACGCGAGTGCTTTGCTTTGTCGGCCATTGCGACTGTTGGAACGCCGCGAGCAAAAAGGCATACTAATGCTTTTCATGGGGGATGAATTGGCCGACTATCTCATCAACTGGTATGATGCTACTAGTATTCATACTAGTAGATGCTGATGCATAGCCTGACAATTGACATCTCGTAGGACATCGCAATGTTAAAAATACCAGTCGCTAACATTGAAAAAGGATAGAACGTGAACTAGTTGAGCTGAAACGCAAACTGGTAGAATTCTACTTCACAACTAGTAGCTTTCCCTGCAGTGAACATATAAATATGTAGTATTACCTTTCTCACACATAAAAAACTTAATATAAACACGATGTGAACGTGCACTTTGATTTCATTTTCGACACAATTATTTCAGAAATTTTTATTATTAGTTCTAAACTTAACAACGCAGCACAAAGTATCCGAAAATATGCATTTACTGCACAATATTCTGAAATATGCATTTATTGCAAAATATGCTAAAATATGCTCCAAGAAATATATCTCAAACTTTATATTTTTTGGAAAAACGTTTAAGCATTTCATCAGCGTGTTGCTAACATGCCTAACAAAAAACATGCCCGAACATATTTTGGGTTGCCCTAGTTATCAGTAATTTGTGGTAGAAATTGATTAGGGAAATTTTCCTGGAGCGCGTTGACGACTCAAGATTGAGTTTGAAGAGCTAAGCTTATATGCCCTGCCCTTAAAACTAGGGATTGAAATTACATACACTGTTAATTGGTGCGGTTGTTTATGTAATAAGGATGTATGACACGAGATCTACACGTGTAAAATATTTTTGTAAACAAAGGTAAAACTTATTACATGATACCAGAAGTGGGATACACAGTCACAAATGTTAAAAAAATACTTCAAATAAGAATGAAACACTACGGGTAGAATTTGACTGCATCAAATTGGGCTGTTATGGAAGGATCTTTTTGCGTGTATATGCATGCAACATTTTTGTGGCTAGTGGGCTCAAAAGCTATAGAAACCTAAAACGAGCTATCTCCAAATATTGGTCCAACGGTACAATTGCTCGGAATTAAATCTACTATTGATGATGGTTGCGAGGATGCTCGCTCATACGGTTGCCAGACGTACTGATTTTATCAGTACAGTACTGATTTTTCAACTATTGTATTGATTTTATTAATTTCTTCAATCAGTACGCTAATGTCTTGATTTTTTCAAAATTCGTACTGATTTGTACTGAATTTTCAATTCAAACAAAATACTTTGGGATTTTCTTAAGGTTTTTACATAACGTTGGGACTTCCTTAAAGTGTACTCTAAAAAGTAAGAAGAAAATAATTTAATTATAGTTGATATATTTCAGATAATGTTTCATATGCCTAAGAAATAAATACGACAAAAAGTTCAATCGTGTTATGGGCATATCGCAGGGTCGTTACGTACCAGTTGCGATAATATGATGGGGTTTAAATTATTTAAAAAGAAGGCTGACGCTTTTTTGTCGACTTTCAGTTTAATAACAACAAATTTGGATAGTTGGAAAAATTAATTTAAGCCATGACTTCAGGGGAATTCATCCCCTAAATAGTGGTGCTTTGCCACAGTTTGAAAAAATATGTAATTTAGTTTTTTTTTCAATACCACACTTAAACAAAGCAACTGAGAGGATTTTAAGTATAAAGTTTGATTCCTGCCGCAAAGAGAGAAACCGGCTTCTAACTAAAATTATTTAAAGTGAACTTCATATTAAAAGTAATCTTAAAATGAACTGTATAGTATTCTTTGACTATTTGAATACTTGAAGATGGAAATTATCTCATTATTGCTATTCAAATAAATAAAAGATAATTGATTGGCTTCTTTGTACAATGATGTGTCATGAGTTTACACAATGAATAACACTTTTATTTTTTATGGACTATATTTTATTTGTATACCAAACTATTGTTAAAAAGAAGTACTCTGGCGTTTTAAAGTATTATCTGTTACTAATATTCATAATTTTGCTTTGAACAAAAATGTCCTGAAAAGTTCTGATTTTTTTTAGCATGAAAAAGTCTAGCGTACTGATTTCGCGCCTAAAAAATCTGGCAACCCTACTCGCTCAAGAGTGTTCGTACGCTCAAACAAGTATTGAGTGCATTCCATTATTACTGCATAGAAAAGAAGAATAGCGCTATGGAATCGTTTTAATTCAATAAGATAACCCAAATGGAAAAAGCAACCTTTCACTGAATTGAGTACAATTGTGGATGTATGGACGGCACAATGATCGTATGTATGTTTCATGATAGACACTTCAGAGCTCACCTGAGCAACACAACACAAACGCAGCTCTGTGAAGTTAGCCCCCCACTTTTACAAATAAATACTTTAACCAGTGCACATTGTAGGACTTTGTTTGTAGTTGTTTGTAGTGGATTTAAATTTGTTTGTAGTTCAACAGACAACAAAATACGATAGGTTGAAAAAATCGCCCCCACCCCACTTTCACCTACAATCAATTTGACTAGTGTACCTTGTAGGAAATCGTTTGTAGTTGTTTGTAGTGGTTTTGATTTTTTCTGTAGCTTAACAGATAACGAAATACGAT